TCTGTCCCCTTCACTCCGTACATCCAATCAATGAAGCCAAACATTCTTCCCACTTAGCCACATGGTGTTGTGAATCGTAGCAGCAGAGCTGCTCGCTCCAGCAGGAACCTGGAGTCAACTTGTCGAACAAGCAGTTATTCTTATTAGTCCATTCTCATCTGGTGCTATTATCCTTATTTTTATACCAGCCACCGGTATATTTGAAATAATCTACTTAAATGAAGAGCACCTCTAGGTATATAAATGATCAAGGTCTTATAAACCACAGATGGAGAAACACCATCTCCCAACGACACCTGAGAAGTCAGGAAAGAAGCCCTCTAACACACCATCAATACTCAAAGCTGATATTCTTACTAAACTATTTCCTGATATTTTACCATAACTATTTTTTTAACATACCTCTTCAATATCTAAAATTTACCCATATACTTTTCCATGTACTTCATGCATCATGTGACCCTCCACATCTACATACCTGTATAATTAATTATGCATAAGCCATTCCAGTTTACTCCACATCTGATTAATATCACTATGCTTATAAGCAAGTAATAGTGAACTGATGGTTTCTCAAACTTAAGTATTTACTTGTTCATACCCTTGCTCCCACACAAGCTCATGTTTGCCTAATTTGGGTATCATATGACATAGACATACTAACCCTAACTGGACATAGCTCATCTCTGAATCAATTCCTGTCACCAGGCATATCTCCTCCAACATCTTTCATTAATCACCCAACTTCTAGACACGAGCAACCCATTCAAGTTGTTCCCCTCTTCTTGCTCTGGGCCCATATTTTCTTATATAGGAGGTTATTATATTTTATAGGTTTATAATTACTACAAATTTAAGAACATTTTATATTTTCTTCTAAGAAAATATAATTTTAAGAGGTACTTTAAATACACTTTGAAAATTAACCTAAGAAATGAAATTAACAAAAACTATTCAAGACTTGCACAAAGAAAATGATAAATTATCAAGGGTTCATGAGGGAGGGGGGAGCACGGAGGGAGGGGAAAAATGAGGACCTGATGCCGGGGGCTTAAGTAGAGAGCAAATGTTTTGGGAATGATGAGGGCAATGAATGTACAAATGTGCTTTACACAATTGATGTAAGTACGGATTGTGATAAGAGTTGTATGAGCCCCTAATAAAACAATTTAAAAAAATGATAAAACATTCTTAGGAATTGAATTATACTTCCCTGAAATATGTGTTAACTAAGCTAGGCCATGATTCTCGGTATTATAATAATTACCTACATCTTGTAAATCGTAACCTCTATCGTGTTAATGAGGCAGGGTTAATGGCAGTTAAACTCGGGAGCTATGGAACAATCTACAGGATTATGACGTATCTTGAATCATCCTTTTTTGAGACACAGAAGAGATTAAACACTTGAGCCGAGAGAGAGACTCATTGCCAAGGAAGAAGAGCCGGGAACAGAGTGGGTCCTTTGGACCTGGGGTACCCGCCCTGAATCTCCTAGGCCTAAGAGAAGATGATGTCAAAGATCACTGGAGATCCCCAAGGAATTCTGATCTCACAGATGTTGAAAGGGGACAAAGACCCCTGGGACAGAGAACGCCTGCCCCCAGAGCTGGTACCTGAATTCAGACTTCTATAGCTTCTTTAAGTGTGAGGGAATCCATTTCTGTTTGTTAAAGCCATTCACTTATGGCATTTCTGTTACAGAAGCATTAGATAACTAAGACAAATTATATTTTAAAATTATTAAGTATGACTTAAATATGCTATATAAATAAGAGTACTCAATGTCAAATTTATGCCAATTCTCTTCAAATTAATCTATAAATTCAATGTAATTCCATTAAAATTCTTACTAAGGTTCTTCACAGTTTGACAAGTAGCTTGTAAACTTGTGGAAGACCAAAGGCCCAAGAACATCCATTGTCATGGGGACAGATAAGGTGTGGGTATGAATCACACCTGAAATAAAGCTCTGTTTAAATACATCTACTGTCAGCATTGAGCTGTGATCATCAAGGTTGGCAGTTCGAAACCACCAGCGCTTCTTAGAAGGAAGACGGGGCTTTCTGCTGTAAACAGTTACCGTCTCGGGAACTCAAAGGGGGAGTTCTACCTTGTCCTATAGGGTTGCTATGATTTGGCATCGACTTGATGGCAGTGAGTTTATTTTTTTAGAAACATGGTTGCTTGATATTAGAGGCAAAGCAGAGAAACAGACTAAAGGAACTGAGTAGAGAACCGAGAAACCTTATGTGTGCATCAGACCCTGATGGTTGGCAAGGGGCTACTCAGTAAATGGGCAATGAGTTACCCATACAAATAAAACCATCCCAAAGTTTGGACCATAATCACAAGATATATGCAAAAATCAATTCTTTCGTCAAGAAATATGCGACTTGAAAACAATGAGAAGGAAATACAGGAAAGTTATCTTTTTGACATTAGTATGGAGGTTTCCCAAGAGAAACAAAAAACACAAACCACAGAGGAGAATGTTGACAAATTGATCTACATTAAAGTTTTTTAAAAAATATTTTGTTTAGCCAGAGACAAGATTAAAACAAGAGAGTGGGGGGAAAAAAAGAGAGAGAGCGTGCTCTATAATGGGAGAACATTTACAAGGTATATACTTAGAAGAGGAACAGTATTTAGAATAAGCATGAAGCTCCTTCAACGCAGTAAAAAACAACAAGCAGCCTGATAGGAAAACAAAAAAGTGAGTAAGAGGGGAATTTACAGGAAGGTGAACATGTGAAAAAGTGTTCAGCTCATTAGTAATTAAATTACAAAGCAGTACCATCCCATAACTATCAAGATTTGCAAAAGTTAAACAAACAAACAAACAAACAAACCTGGCACTCTAAAGTGACTGGCAAATGGATATATAAATTGTTTTATACTCATATAATACAAACTACGGCATATAAACGTGAGAGTGAATGAGGTATAGGTATCAACAATGACGGCTCACAGTTATCATTGGGTATAAAGCTGCATTACACTCTCACTGCCAGCAGGTCGGGTCTGACTCAGCGATCCTTCCAAAGTTCATGGATCAAATGAGAAGATAGCGTATTTTTTCCATGAACTTTTCTAAGCTCTTTCACAAATGGCATAGAGCTTTCACTGCTAGCGAATTGATGCCGACCCACAGTGACCTTGTAGGATAGGGTAGAATTGCTCCTAAGGTTTTTGAAACTGTAACTCTTGATGGGACTTTAAAGCCCAGTCTTTGTCCTGTGGATAACTAGTGATTTAGAACTGATGACCCTGCCATTAGCAGCCTAATGTAAAATCGTTATGCCACAGGGCTCCGGCTGGTATAGCATAGTGTCTCCCTAAATGGGTGATACCCTGGGCCGGGGCATAGGGTACAGGGGAGGGGGGTGGCACTAGAATGATCCAGGGTGGCTGCAAAAGCAGATCCCTACACTATATTCTGGATTATAGGCTGTCGTACAAATGTTTCTCATTTCCCGAGGGGCTCTCACGTTTTTTAATTGAAAACCAGGGAAGGGTTTGGTCAAATAAGTTTGGTAACCTATAATACAGAGTATGCTACTGCTTACATAAAGTTTAAAAACATGGAAAGGAACACTTTCCTATTTCATTTGTAACAAAATATACATGTAAGAACACTGCCGATAAATCCATAAAAATAATAACTACCACATTCAAGAGGCTTGATACCTCTGGAACACTGGTTCTCAGCCTTCCTCATCCCTCTACCCTTTCATACAGTTCCTCATGTTGAGGTGACCCCCAACCATAAAATTATTTTCGTTGCTACTTCATCACTGTGATTTTGCTACTGTTAAGAAGTGTAACATAAATATCTGATCTGCAGGATGTATTTTCACTGTTATAAACTGAACATAATTAAGGCATAGTGATTAATCACAAAACAATATGTAATCATATATTGTGGAATATTTATTTCTAATGACAAATAAATGAAGTGTTGTCTTGAAGCACAGTGTAGCATGGGTAACAGTCTTCATGCCAGGTACTTGTATGTGGGCATATCTGCATGTGGGCGGACCCACCTGGAGACGAAGAGAGGAGTGGTGTCTCGGTTCCTAAGATCATCGGAAATATGTGTTTTCCAATGGTCTTATGTGACCCCTGTGAAAGGATCGTTTGACCCCCAAAGGGTTGCAACCCACAGGTTGAGAACCGCTGCTCTAGAAGGACAGGTGAAGGAAGTCTATTGAAGATGGAGCACTGATTACTTAAACTGTATTTGTAATGTTCTATTTCTTCACCTGCGTGACAGCGTCAGGGCATACATATTCTTTACTGTGTCACTTTGCATATTAGAAACGTTTACAATGAAGAAAAAGCATACAAAAGAGAACATGAATTTTCAACACAGTTTGAAGTAGGGCACTACTCATCTTTCATCCTAATTTTTCAATCTGCTCCATCCATTCCTGAAATCACAAAGACAAAGATGGGGAAAAAAGGCAGTTCCAACAGGCCCTCAATGTCTTCTAAGAACAGGTGGAAAGGGAACCTGAAGGCTAAAACCAGTAAGATCCTAAGACTGACCACATCCTGACTCAGACCCGGCAACTGCAGCACCAGAAGGCCTCCTTCCTCCTATCAGCACAGATGTCCCACTGCCTCACTGCCAGGTGCGATTTCCCTGACCTAACTCGGGTCTTGGAACCCGCCCGGAGGCTCAAGATGCCCCTGTCCCTTTCTCTGCTCTCCCTTCCCTCCCGGAAGTTCTTTCCCTGCTTCAATAAAATCGTTCTCAACTTCAAAAAAGAAAAAAAAAGATCCTAAGATGTACCTTTCTGCAAATTTTTTTCTCAACTTCCATCTCAAAAGAGCATTGATTGCAATTGCTTAAGAGAGTAGGATGTTACGTCAGCAAACGGGAACAATGTTTTCCAACGGAACACGAGAACTGAAGTTCCAGCAGAAAGGCAAACAAGCACTTGAAACACTCGGAACAGCCCAGCGATTCTCTTGAACCACTTGCGATGCCGTACCTTAAGCAGCTCCTTCTCCTTGTGGAGGGCCTCATGGAGTTCTGGAAGGGGCTCTTTGCTTTTCGCCTTTAAAACTTGCAGCCTGCTTTTCAACTCCTTGATTTTCTTTTCACACCGGTCCCAAGTCTATTTGAAAATAGCATTTAAAATAAGTACTTGGTTCTTTAAGGGTGAACTGTAGACAGACTCATTTAATCGGTGTCATTTTTCTATGAAGTGCGTTTTTGGCAAAGCTTTAAAAACAACAACAGGCAGACGGTCGCTGAGGGGTCAATATTGCAACCCATGGGCACCCCCCGGGAGCTGGAGCAGAGCTGTGCTCCCCAAGGTTTCCAAAGGGCTGACTTTATGAAAGGGATCACACCAGGCCTTTCTTCTGAAGGGCCTCTGGGTGAACGTGAGCAGTCACACTTTTGTTTCGGAGCCAAACATGCTATCTGTTCATACCACCTCAGCTGAAAGACCAAATCCCCTCCGAGCCAACTGATTCTGACTCACAACAACCCTAATACAGGGTTTCTTAGGGTGTAAATCTTTATGGAAGCAGGCTAGCCTTTTCTTACCCCCTCGGAGTAGCTGATGACCTTGAACCACTGACCTCATGGTTAGTAGCCTAAGGCTTACCTGACAGCACCACCCAAGAACTCCAAGTCCATGTCTTGAGCAGACTGCAATCCACGACAGACCAGGGTGGCTAAGCACCTCTTAGAAGCCATACACGTGACTCATGCCAACCGCTGGGTTGGTCTTTGCTTAAAAATGTGTCTCCCTCCCATTGTGTATCCTAATCGTCTACTTTTAGCTCTATTCTAAATTTGAAAGAGCTCACGGTGAAAACATGACTGTAAGGACTAATTTTTAGCGTTGACCATCTTGGGCAATAAGGTCTCAAAGCAAAGTAAAGCCAACGTTCCCAATCAGTTTTCTCATCATCCCTCTGTTCTCTTTCCCTTTCCAGAGCTTGCTTGCTTGCTTTGGTGACCCTTTCGTGTGTAAGCTTCGCTTCCTCATTTTCCATCAGTGCTCAGACCGCCACCTTCTACTTTGCCACTTACAATGCATTTTCAACTCCAGTAGGCCATTGTAATGAAAACAACGCCAGGAGACAGGGCAAGTGCTATTATCACATTGAAAATGAGAAAACTGAGGCTCAGAGTGGTTCTGACCAACCCAAGAACAGGAGGTTACGAAAGAGGGTAGCTGACAGTAGACCCAGAACTGTCATCTCCACTTTTGGTATCTTTCCTCCATGCCATTTCTCCCCTCACACCTACAGTTGACTGCACTTTCAAACCTGCACGTATCATCGAATCACTAGGGCACGTTTCTTCCCTCGGAGTTATGAGAAGGACAGACATACAATGAAACGCTATGCTACGCCTCAATACCTTTCATACTTAGATGCACTTGGGCCCAATTCTCTGCTAACGTCTTACGTAAGGAGAACGCACTTGCCTGGCAAATGCTACTATCTGGAGCTCAATCAAGAAGAAAGCAAAACGGAGTATCCTAAGTTCTCCTCCCAAATCGTACATTGCTTTTACCACCCTGCTTTCTACATAGCCGGTGCTGAGTAGTTGAATTTCATAGAGCCCACATAATAACCCAGACTCAAGATACGTCACTTGTAGGCGGCGTGCTCAAACTGTAACTCAGCACAGAGTCACTCTGCTGTCAGGAAGACCTCTCTGGCCAGCTTGGTTATCTGGTTTGGTACAGAACGGGGAGAGCGAAGAGCCCGGAACCAGGAGTAGCCATTCTCGGAAAAGCGAACGAGGACACTGGACAGCTTACCATGAAGAAGAGAGAGGGAGGACCATATCCACGACAGGAAACCTCAGAGAGCAGAGTCGTTTAGGGTTGTGGAGAGTTAGGTTCAAGCAGGCCAGAGTCCTCGGAGTGTTCTTAATAATGATCCCCAAAGAAAACACTTTTTAAAGGTATCATTGTAAATTATCTAGGAAGACCCAGTTAAGTGGTAAAAGGCATTCCCTGATGACAGCAGAGAGGGCCTATCACTGTATTTATTATCACATAGTTAACACCCCAGTTTCCTGCCCTTTCTAACTTTCCTGCCTCATAAAAAGAAATAGCTAAATAGAACCTTAAGTGCTTAAGTACTAAGCTCTTTCAATGCTGTGCCATTATTTTACATTAGGTAATTGACATGACTCCCATGGATTGATAGAACTTGAGATTCCTTGGAAAATGCAAAATACTGTGATTTCCTAAAACAGCTTCATATTTTAGAGTGAGTGAATAGAGTTATGGACTGCATTTGAGTATCGGGAATGGAAAAGTCAGTGGTGAGCTTACCTCTACAAAGGCCTGGAAGTGCTTAATCATTTCTCCCACTTGAAGCTCTGTGTCCTTCCAGTTGCCCTGGAGTTGTTGGATTTTCTCCTTAACTGACTCTTTAGCATCCAGGTTGGTCATGCTCAGTAATTTCTCCCCAGCTTCCAAGGTTAGTTCATACGTGGTTTGCCTTCTCTGAAAACCAATTTCTTTACTCTAAAGCAAAAAAAAAGCAATGTGCTCAAATATCTGACATGTAGATTTCCCTCAGAGCTTTTTAAAAAACGTTGAATTCAATGTAAGGTAGACAAATCTTGTTAGCATGTGCGTGCGCGCGCGCGCACACACACACTGTCTCTCTTCGCATTAAGTGCTGTACTACCAAATGACAGTTCTTAAAATAATTTCCAAGACTGTTAGGGGATGAGGTCTCTGTGTAATGACTAGAAGTAGACCCAAATGAAAAACATGCTTCAAAGAAGAAAGACCTCTAACAGATGGGTCCAACAGTGTTAACAGACCTGGAATTAAGAGCAAATACTCTTTTTACCATCATGGAACAAGACTCAGCTTACTGTTAACCCATAAAGATAGAATGTACACATGATGATAAACAATTGTAAAAAAGACGGAACAAATTTTAAAAAGTGAAATGCACAATTACGAACATCTAAGATTGCTCTGGGCACATAAACACTCACTTTGATACACGCAATAAAGAGTTAGCTTTAAAATATTCCATCTGGCTATGTTGGCTTTGTTTAGAAAGGATTTAACTTAGTTGCTCACAACACAAAAACAAAGTAAAAATATTCCAGTTGAGTCATACTTCTCAAGCATTTGGTTTCAGGCAAGAAGAATAAAAGAGTCATATAGATTTTGTCTTCTAAGCAAAGCGGTGTCCTTTGTCTTCACATTCTCAGAGGAGACGTAATACAGGCTTTTTCCAGTTGAAGGTTCTTTAAAAAAAAATCCCCAGAGAATTGAAAGGCAAGCATGTTCCTGAGAAGTCCTGAGGTAACCCAAATCCAAAGAGGAAAGCAGCATTTTCAGGAGGAGCTCCCAGCAAAGAGAGGGCAGAGAGGATGCCCCATGGAACAGACGACAGCTCTACCCTGGTCCTCCCAACATGTGGTACTGGTCAGCATATCCACTCACATGGGTGGTCTACCAGATGCCCAGAGCAAACCCACTGCCCTCAAGTCAAGTCCAACTCACAGGGACCCCACAGGACAGAGTAAAAGGCCTCACAGCATTTCCAAGGCAGTGAATCTTTTGTAAGAACTGCTTTCTCCTGTGGCTCGGCTGCTGGGTTCGACCCACCTGCCTTTGGGTTAGTAGCCAAGCACTTTAACCACTGTGTCACCAAGGCTGCCTCACTCAATGCTCTAAAAGCCACTCGGACTTTTTTGTTTGCAGAGCGCACCGCGCACACCCAGATGCTCAGGCCTGAAAGGGAGAGCTATCCTTGATTTAGCTTTGCCGTTTACTCACCACATCCAATCTGGTCGCAGCCCTTACCAACTCGACCTTTCTATCTTCACTGTGATTGTTATCCTGCCTGGCACCATAATATTCTCCAAGACTATTGAATTCGCCCTCCTGGGATGGGAGATGGGTTGACACAGTGGCTGCAACAATGGGCCTCAAACATAAAAACGACTGTAAGGCAGGTGCGGGACCAGGCGGCATTTCTTTCTGCTGTACACAGGGTCACTCTGCGTCGGGAGCACTCGAAGGTCCCTAACAACAAAATGGGCCAGGGAACACTGTGTTTCTCCACAAATGGCTTCAGCGATATCCCCAGGCCCTTTCTCTTCCCGGAGTGAGTGCGTCCAGCTCTGTAGATTAACAGGGTTTGATGCCTATTAATTCTGAGGTTACATTCACAGGCAGTAGATGGGTTGCATGAATATCTTTCTTGGGACACTGCCAATGATACCATGAGTTGCCATGGAAGAAGTCTTGCTATCAGGAAGCCTCCATGTAAAGAGGATTTCAGAAGGGTGGTGGTTGGTTTAGCTGGACTTCTAAGTTAGAACAGTATACAACTCTATAATATATACTCCGGGAATAGTCAACTGATTCTATTCCTATGATGATCACTGTGCAACTTTGTGATGGAAAACTGGGTTGTCTGAATAAATTGGTTCTTCAAGAGTAAGCAGGACTTCTACGTTAAATGGCTACACTGGTGGTCCATTTATATATTAGTTCTTTAAGGGATAGGGTGGTGAGGATCAGTCACCCCCAAGATCACACCTGCCCACTTTACCTACCACTCATTCCATTACTCATTCCAGTGTTAGTCATCCTGTGAGCTGAGAGAGCCCCACAATTTCCGATAAAGGAAAACCTTTGAGTGTCTGACCCCAAGCAGCTGAGGATTGGGCTGTGGCTTGCAGAAACTATACAACCTGGGGTGGGAGAACATCTTAGGCACAAACACCATGCAGTCACCTGCCATGTTCACACTGCTCTCAGCATCTCCTACCTTGAGCTCCTGGATCAGCCTTCTAGTCTGGGAGAGACTGCAGCAGTCTAGGCTCGTCGCTGCAGACAGCAGGTGGCTGGTGTCCGTGAGGAAGCGAAGCAAGTCCTCCACGGATGCGTTGAAGTTATGCCACTGCCGCACCTGCCCATTGATGTCACCCTTCCTCTGCTGAACCCTCTGGGCAGCGCTGTGCCACTGGTCCTTCAGCGTCGCGAATTTCAACACAAAGTCCGATCTTGATAAAAACAGAACATTATTAGCAAGTTGAATTCTAACTTCAAAGTACAGAAGTTAAAAAAAAAGAAGAAGAGCCGCCAACAGGTCAGAGCGGCTCAGATGTGCTGTTTACAGCCACAATTTACATGGGAAACGTTTCTTTGAAAGTACAAGCATCTATTAATTTTCCTGTGATGGGGGCTCTGGGCAGGGGGGACAGTATGCAAGTCAGTGAAGAAGGATTTAGCAGGAGATGTTTGCAAGCCACCTGGGTTGTGCCAGCATGCCTAGCTATCAATTCTTAAACAAAACGAAACTGCTTTAACACACCACGTGCTGCTTGGAAAACTAGAATCGGATCAAGGGGAAAGGGACGGAGAGGCCAGTACGATAAAATGCTACTGACTACTTGAGAGTCGTGCTTGACATCATGTGAGCAATAAAAACATGTACTTTGTGCCATCCTTCAACTCGTTATTGCCCTGATAAGCGTTGTTGTTAGGCGCTGCTGAGTCGAGTGACCCCATGTGACAGAGCAGAAGTGCCCCAAAGGCTTTCTGGGCTCTCATCTTTACAGAACCGGATGGCCAGGCCTTCTCCCAGGGAGCCACCCAGCGCGGGGTGGGCAGTGGGGGAGGATGATATTTCAAACTGCCAACCTGTCCGTTCGCAGCTGAGCGCTTAACTGTTGTGCCACCAGAGCTCCTTCCCCACACCCGTCACATAATGAGCCGGAACCACAGCGGCAGCACCAGTCCGTTTATGACTTGCCGGGAAATGCCCTGTCTTGCCTAACTGGTTAAGTCAAAGCTAGTTTGTCATTCTGACAGAGGCTGGGATTTTTCACTTCTGAATTCGGAAGGCATGGGCATTATCCACAAGGATGTGGCAACCAGCACCAGAGGTATGGTGAGGATGGGAGGACAAACAATGCCTAGCAGGGCCTTTGGAGAAATAGGAAGCAGCGAGGCCGTTTCTGGACTCCTTCTGCCAAACACACCCATTTGTTATTGCTGCTCCGCGGGGCCAATGGGCTCTGCTCAGCCCAGCCTGGCAATGCCCAGAAACCGTATGAATTTGGCATGCAGAGAAACCCTTTCTTTATCTGGGACACAGCTGCCTCCTGAGAACAGCTGGAGTTTATATATATATATATTCATATATACATATATAAACAAAACACCAAGAAGGTGAGGCAAAAAACGTATTATAAAAAAATAATTGGGGGCTAAAACATAAGACAACTGGACTTGACAAGTGGACAGACAAATGCTTCTGGTCTGCTAAGCCCATCCGCCTCCCCATCTCTGGGAAAGGTCCCCCTGGCATTTTAATGGACACGTAGCAAGACCGGGTCCTGACATATAGTCAGAAGACTGGTCCCACTGGGGTTTAGAAATGAATATGGTCAAGTCTCACTATACAAGGCCTGCGCCAACCGCAGCACATTCTGTACCCCAACAACCAGCCCACACTGGACAGCTTACCTCTCCTCCACTTCTGCTGTGTCCAGGAGTTGTAAGGTCTGGGTGACAAGAGAATCAGCAATTGTCTGGTTTACAGAAACTTCAGCTTCTAACATCTGTGGATATGCCAAAATATATAGAGAGTATCAGCAAATAGCATTCATCTTACGAGTGTGTAATCCATGTTTCCTATTAACATCCAACCTCATAGAGGTTATGGGAAATGATTCGCTTTCATAGCCTTTGAGCCTAACTGCCCCAAATGCTCATCAATTGTTATATACGAATATAGTCTTGAAAGTAATAGTAGCTAATTATGCTAGTAAGTATCAATTATGCTAGTAAGTATCAAAAAACTTACTATTTGCCAGCCACTGTGTTAAATTAAATATACAGTGTCTCATTTACTTCCTAACCTTAAGTATTCCTATTATAGCCATTTGACGTAGGAGGAAACAAAGGTGCAAAGAGGTTCAGTAATTTTCTTGAGACCATCTAGTTTGGGGGCAGGCTGGATTTCTTTTCATTGGGTGATCTTAATGCAGACATCAATCAGTTCCACTGAACGCTACAGGGAGTTAACCATGCACACTTTTGAAATGCAGGCTTTGCCAATGACTACCAAGATGATTTCCAAACATACCCCCACTCACAAGTATTGGGAGAGGGGAAACTGTGACATTATTAATGTTGCAATTATTATTATATTAAGTGCTCCACTACTTTAGAGATTTCATCCGTGAGAATGCAAAAGTGAGCTGAACCATTGTAACATGCTCTTGGTAAAACGGTGTCTATCCAAGGGGGCTTCAGAGAGCTTGTGAGAAAATGCCATCCTTTTTCAATTCCACTTTTCCATATACTTTTTGAAGCCCTTTGTCTAACGTTTGCACTCTGGGAAGCAACATTTAGAAGCTTCCATTGGCTACAGAGAGTGTAGCAGTGCTGCTACGATGAAAAGAGATCAAATATCAGCTACGGCTACAGAATCGGTTACAGAAACCAGGAGTAGCATTGTAATGGGTAGTATTTCCTCCTTATACCGATACAGTAAACATTTTTGTTCTGTTGGTTTACAGAATAGAAGATGGAAATGGGGAAAACACCCGGCTATGGTTTTAAAAAATAAAACAGATCAGTAGACCAGTATTGGAGATTATGAAACGTGGGTGAAATACACGAATGATCAATTGACAACTGGATTTGCCACAAGACATACATTCTATATAAGGAAATATGGTAGTTACATAATCTATTGTCAACTGAAGAGGGAAGGGGTGGAGTTTAGACCTCATCTGGAGGCGTTAAGGAGATAAATAGCTCGCCCAGAGGCAGGACACACACATTCACTCCTTGTGTGATATGCTTGCTGACAGGACACAAGGAGCTATTCTAGAGCCCTGGAGCTGAAAGAGCCACGTGGAGACCCCTGTCAGGGCTGAGATGCCTCTACCACCACTGGAGCCACAAGACTTTCCACCCACTGGTCTGTGGTCTTCCTGCATTCGGCGTCATTGCATGTGTTTCGTGAGTCTGAAGAGGACTTTATAGATTGGTACCGGACGTATGGGCTAATATCGGACTTATGGACTTGATCTGGGCTGGGCTGGGATGTTTTGTCAAAATTCAGGGAGTGACAGGAACTCAGAAGTACTGTGCCTCGATCTTTCTCGGCCCCTTGTCCCACAGTGAGGGGGACGAGGATGGGGCACCACATGGGCTTACCTCATAGGATTTCTGTTGTTCTAGGAGACCTGGAAGATCGCTGGCAAGATTCACCTTCAGCATCTCTTCTATCTTCTGCAGAAGCAGGGCCCACTTTCCACAGCAGTGAAGAAACTTTTCGTTCAATTCAACTCCCTGAAGGTCACTACAGAGGTTTAAAGAGAAGAGTGAGCCCCACCACAGCGATAATGTCAAGCTCGAGCCTTTCATTTCACCTCCCTGGAAGGAGAGCAGTAAAGGCGGGTGCTCTGACCTGCAGCGCTCCAGTGCCGTGGCTGTGGCCCGGATCCACTGCCGGTTCACATTCTGCAATGTCTTTACAGCCATGTCACTAAGAGGCAGCTTGAGGCTGACTTCATTCAAACGTTCAATATCAGGAGACTGCGCAGTCAGGGACAGCACATGAACCTATTATTTAAAGAAAAAAAATTAAAGCCCAGCTTTTGGGGATGCTGAGAAGTGATGCAGACATGATGAAAATGTCAGAGGTCTGTAGGCTGTCCTGCATGTCAACGAAAAGAGACGCATGCCTTTACCCCTAGCTGAGGAGCTAGTTCACAGCAGAAGTGAACCCAGAGCCCAGGTCTCTCAGTCTTATGCCTTTCCTAGAGCCCAGGCCACACAGATAGCTTGAACCGCCCGGGAACGTGACCGCAGAGGCTGCCTTGGACGTCCTTAAGGAATGAGTTTGAGTTTGTTGGTTTTCAGTGGCCAATTCTGGTCCTTTAAATTCCATTGAGCATGCCAGGGACCTGACCTTTTTAACATGTGGGTCACTCACTGATGAGATGGAAATTTAATCCTTCAAGAACTTGAGGTAAGCATTTTGCTTAGATACACAGAGTTGGACAGAACATGAAATCGGGGGAAAGTTAATTCATGAAAAATTTATTTTCAAAAAGGCAGTCTAGGAACAGCATGTTGGTCAACACAATATTAAGAAAACGTCATCATGTTCACGTGGTCACTATAAAATTGCTGTAATCAGTAGGTCACGGTCATCAAGGGACAGATGAGAAATATTTTAGGCATTGGAGGCCATGTGGTCTTGGTGGTAACTATCCAACTTGGCCCTAATAGCATAAACATTTCTTTAACCAACAACTAAATGAGTAGATGTGGCTGTATTCCAAAAAAACTTTATAACCTTTATTTACAAAAAACAGGAATCAGCTTGGATTTGGGCAGTGGGACACAGTTTACTGAATCCAGAGCCACATTATCAACATTGTTTATTAGGGGCTGCACCTGCCAGAATTCTTTATTTATTCAACTTCTACTAAGTTTATTACGGTAATGAAGAAGCAAAAAATCATAATAAATTGTAATAAAAGCATTGTCTTCTGATCTCCAACTAACCAGAAAGATGTAAGCCATCCCAACAACAGCCACTGAAGTCAATCAGTAGAGATATCAAGATGAAAAAAAAATCACTAAACATTAGTGTGGTATGTTGCTAACATAGTTCCCTGTGTTGTCATACTTTTTCTTGACAGAGGAAAAATAAAGACAGAATGAATGCATGCAAATTAGTGTGCTCAAATGTTAGTTATGATTCAAATTAATTCTATAATATAATAGTAATTAGCTTATATACACATTTTAATCCAATGGGGATTCTAAGATTTTGGGCAAGACAAATAGTGACAGTACCAGGATTGCGTCAGGGTTTCCTTCCTTTGCTTTCTGGTAGAGTTTATCCAAGTTTTCTTCTTCTTGCATAATAAGGCCCTGTAGAGATTCTAAGCGGTTCTCGAAATCCTTAAACTGCGAGAGAAGAAACTAGAACAATAGAAATTGTCATGAGAAGCAATTTCCATGTACCTCGTTAATAGAATTAAGCCTGGTCTAGTCTTGGGAGCTTATGGAAAAGTTCGCGTTGCTTACAGCCCTTAGCATGTCATTAACACCTGGCAGGTGACTACTTAGAAGCTACACCTGGCAGGTGACTACTTAGAAGCTCAGGTCCTCAGGAAGATGGATGGAAGGGTCACTGGATGGAAGGGCATGCAGGAGCGATCACTGTCCCCTTAGTCAGTTTGTAGCCCGCACCCACCTCCCCACCCCCCACCCCCATTGGTTTTGAGCTTTGGTATCGGAGGGTCACAGCCTTCCGGGGAGCTTTCCGATCACTCAACTACTAGAGGCTTGTCACCAAGTGAATTAAGAACATAGTGCATGGCTACATTGGCAGCAGTGACTTCTAGCCGTGACTCATTAGTTCACTTGGAGAGCTGAGCCGAGTACAGACGGTAATGAGCCCCTTTTCAGGCAGCAGAAGAAAGGGTTATTGAAGATGGAGAAGCCTGCCCAAGGACAGAGATGTTCCAGGCAGCTCGGCTGTCTCATTTCCCGCAGGAGCGGCCCGCAGAGCACAAGTTAATGACTTAACAGAATCCAGCCGCCGGAGAGCACTGCGTGCACCTCCTGAACTACCATTTGTACAGAAAAAGAAGATGACACACCTCAAACTCATTTGCTTTCACAAGCAGCATCTTTTCCAAATAAGCAGCCCTCTGGAGGGCGTGCGTCCGGCCAGACAGGAGCGCGGGAGGGCAGGGCTCAGCGGAGAGTTGCCGGAGGCGCTCCAGGAGAGGCGCGTGCTGGAGAAGGGCTTCTGCCATGTTCTGCACATCCCGCTGCAGCTCCTGGAGGGGAAGGTGTCATCCCAAAACACGTCCCCCTCCCCCACGCCCCTGCCGCCCCACTGCCTGCGTTGGCTGTTTATTGGAGAGAGCTGAAAAAGCGAAGCTGCCTGGATAGGATGTGCATATCCTGACAGCTGCCAGTTCAGAGGGAAAATGTACCCGTGTGGCTTTTCACAGCATGGCTAGAGCCAGGTGTTTTAAATTCCCAAGTACCTAACGCGTGCTTTGGGAACCTGTCTTAATGTCATTTCAAGAATCTGCAAAACGGAGATTTTCTGATAAAAATGGACTCATTTGGGAGACTTAGGATCTTATTAATTAAGCTGAGTGTACAGCTATCTGGCAATCCAGTGTGTGTTAGATTTCTGGTGAGGTTTCGTGTGTGTGTGTGTGTTTAATTTTATACATCAAATCAGATCAACATTAACCAGAGTATCTATTTGATTCTTATCTTTCTAATTGAATTAGCTCATACTTTCCCATTTGACCTACAGTATCAGAAGATAGAAGATTAAGGTTGGCAGGCTGGAACCACCAGCTAAGAGGCTTTCGACTCGTCTGGGAAACCCACAGGGGCGGTTCCACCCTGTCCTATGAAGGTCACTCAATGGGCACTGGCTCAAGGGCAGTGAGGTTGTTTTTGTTTCCTGTTTTTGCTACCAAGTTACAGACGTGAAAATATTCACTCACTGGGCAATCATTCTCAATAATAAAACATACAAAGGAAATTATATTGCTCTTAAATATGATCTAAAAAAAAATCACGATGCCCACAGAAAACCCACACTAACATGAGTACCAGGTTCACGACTGTTTCTAATGCCAGAATTTCACATTCAGTATGTATAGTTGGGAGACTGACTATGCACAGAGAAACCGACTTAGAGGCTACCTGCTAGATGGATGGATAGACTACAGTGAGTTGGCGTCAGGTCCCCTGGACCCAGCTGCATGCTGTCAGAGCGTTCCTCTGAGCTGCCCTCTGCTCCTTCTGACCACACACATTCCTGGTCTTGCCTTGGCTCTCAATGGTCTGCCCAGGGCACCGGACTTCTCGGTCCTTGTGGTCTGTCTAGTCTTGGGGTCATGTCCGTTCCACACTGGCCCTGCCCGTTGGACTGAGTTGGTCTCGGGTTTCTTGCCCGGCTTTGCACCCACCTTTATGTCTTGCAGGGCTGAGAGCAGGACTTCGGGCAGGTTGTTTCCAGGCAAGTTGATGCGTGGGAGCTGGTGAAACTTTGCTTCCTCTTGCTCCAGCCTCGCAGTGGCTTCAGCATGAGCACTATTATATGCCTTCCAGAGCTGCAGCAGACTCTGGGCCCCTTGCAACTCGTCTGCGATGGCTTGGTTTACCTGGGTCCACCTGGTAGTACAACAGGAACAATACGGTCCTCCTTCCATCCTCTCCCTTGTAGCTAGAGTACAATATACATGGTCTACAGCAGTGGTTCTCAACCAGTGGGTCACGACCCCTTTGGGGGGGGTGTCAAATGACCCTTTCACAGGGATTGCCCAATTGATAACAGTAGCAAAATGACAGTTATGAAATAGCAACAAAAATAATTTTATGGTTGGGGGGG